TGCTTGGCCTATGTATTCTCCTGTAGTGTAAACAGAGGGATGAGTATTGAAGATTTCAAATTTATCTACTGGATGGAGTACGGCCATAGAATGTGGGGAAGGGCTCTAGGAATCATGTTTGCTTTGCCATTTTCGTACTTCCTTCGAAAGGGATACATCACTCTACGCCTTGGGCTGAAACTCTCAGGTCTTTTCGCTCTTGGTGCTGGGCAGGGTCTAATTGGCTGGTGGATGGTCAAAAGTGGTCTAGAAGTAGGCAGCACTCTCCTCTGTTTATTTGTATCTCAGCATGCCATTCTTATTAAGAACTTTCTTTTTCTTTATATTAATTAGGAGCCGCCATCTGAATATGCTCAACCAAGGGTAAGTCCATATCGTCTTGCCGCTCACCTAACGTCAGCCTTTGCCATATACTGTGGCCTTTTCTGGACTGCTCTTTCCGTCGTTATGCCAGAGCCACCTGCTGAATCAGTAGCTTGGGTTTGTGGGGCAGCAAAAGTTAAGAGACTTGCCCTTCCTTTAAGCTTGCTGGTTGGTGTTACAGCCATCTCAGGAGCCTTTGTCGCGGGAAATGATGCTGTACGTAATTTTTCTGTCTACTTCAATTTTTATCTTCCAAAACATGCAAATAGATGATTTATGGTTTCTTTTTCTGCTATCGATAAGATTAGATGATCCTCATGTGCTTAATTTCCAGGGACACGCGTTTAATACTTTTCCAAAGATGGGGGATACATGGATCCCTGATGATATTTTCGAAATGAAGCCACTAATGCGCAATTTCTTTGAGAACACATCATTGGTGCAGGTATTTCTTTTGGTTCACCAGCTTCACTTTTTGAGTTGATTTCCTTGGATGTAATAGTTTATAGGATGGTCTCGGATTTTTATTCTAAGTAACAAGCAGGAGTGCATTTGGGTTTTCCCATTGGCTTATATGTTTCTATGCAATACCTCAAAGATGGCATGCAAAACTCATGTGAAAGATTGGGCAAGACTGACTCATCTCAAAATTAATGAACTCATTAAATAATGACAGTCCACTAGGTTAACAGTTGTCAGAAAACTATTTAGGTTATCCAACACATGATAAGGCCATGTCAATTGCCTTAAGATACCCGCATATATGTATTGCACTATGATTACCATGTGTAATAATTGTTCCATTGTCGCTTACGTGCACATATTCGTAATGCTGAAATTTGTAGACAAGAACTCTGCTTGATGTGGTCCTCTCTTCGTAAGTTTTGTGCTTGAGAATAGCTTCATATAGGTCGTGCTGTTTAATTGCTGCATCTGTTGTCCTTGACACACAGCTTGACCATCGCATTCTTGCAACCGCTACTTTGGTCGCACTTGGCACTCTTTGGTGGTCAACCAGAAAGCTAGACATACATCCAGCTGTTCGATCTTTGATTGGAAGTACTGTGGGCATGGCTGCTCTTCAGGTGACTTCTTAGTTTGCTGCTGTATCTCATTTCAGTTTTGCATGGTATTAACAGTTCACGACTCATATTTCCTTCCTCTAGCTTTTAAGTTCTCGGGAAAGAGCTGTCTTTGGCGTCCTATGAAGGCGAATTCTGAGGATTGCCTCTCTCTGCAGGTTACTTTAGGGGTATCGACTCTTCTATCGTACGTGCCTGTTTCGCTAGGCACCGCACATCAAGCTGGGGCTCTGACCCTTCTTACCCTCATGCTCCTGCTAAATCACACCGTGCGCAAGCCGTCACCGTCCCTCCTCAAATCTCTCCCTCAGATCGTGAAACAAACTACATGACCATAGTCGGACAATTTTTGTAAGGCTATTTATTCGACAGCGGTGATTATTTACCGTGTTTCCTCATCGTGTTACTACTGTTACCCAAGTTTTTCGTAGGACGTAAGAGGATCCAGATCTTTTTCTAGTCCTCGGATGCTCTCCGAACAACTTGTAGCGTCATTTGACCGTTTCCCATTTAGTCGCTTTCGACTTCGCGACGAAACAAATTGTAATTTGAGAGAAGAACAATTTCCTGATCATAGCATCGATTGGATGACAGGAGCAGTCGCTTGCATATTTCTACGAAAGTAGGAGAAGGATTAGTGCAGGGGTCAACAAACTTTACGTTTCAACAGCAAATTGGTAGAGAAGTCTTCTAGTTAGCGTGGAAAATAGGGTGGTGTTTTTGTCAAGTTCACGTGAAATGCAAGATGAAGACCGACTCATATGCTCAATTTTTCAAATTTCAATTCGGCCGTGGAAGAAAAAAAATGAAAGAAAGGTCTAAGCCATAAACTCTGTTTAACGCTTGCATAATGTATCACAATTCGAAATAAAATATTATACTTAGGTTTAAGCCATAAGCTCTGTTTAATTTAATAAGCCAAATTAAGTTCAAAGTGTCCTAAAATGGAACCGACCCATTTATAGATGTTCTTGTGCCCAACCGCGATGTGTCTTGCCGCTTGGTCCTGTCACGTTGATGCTGTATTTATTAATTGAACAGACAAGGAGAGAGAAATTATAAAAAAAATGATTGTCAAGGACCCAAAAAGAGAGAAAAAAAAAAGTTGTAATTATGAGATGAGGGGAAATTACAGGAGAGGAAATTAGGATCGAGATTTGGGTCTAATTTAAAATGCTATCAACCATATCATTTTCTCTCCATAAACGAGAGAGTGGGACTTCGACGAGGGGCCCGATGAAACGACGCCGTCTTACAAATATCTTTTTTTTTTTAAGTCTTCCACCACTGCTGATGATGACGTCACGTTTGTAAACATGGAAATAGTAATTAACATGGGCTTATCCTATTTTCCGCCTCCTTATCGGCTCGTGACACCGGACTACATTATTCTTTGCGGGTCCCATTCTCGATTTTGGATTGGTTCTTACCCTTTTTTTTTTCTTCCCTATCTTGTGTTTCGATTTTTATTAAAAGACAAAACTACCCACGTCCATTTCAAACAACTTTTTTCACCCTAATCACTTCTTCCACCACCCGCAGTATATTTCAACGTTTCATTCATGTTTGTCTTCTTCCAAACTTATTTCACCGATTATTAACTTTATTTCCTAGAGAATCCCCATATCGTCAATTTTTCGACTTCGATTTGTGGTATAAGTTTATGAGAATTTACTCAAAGATTGAATATTGTGATTGATGAATGCATTATACACAATTTACTCATCTTTCATTGTATTGTTTTTTTTTGGTAGTGCGGTCAATATGAAAGACAATATTGAAGATGACCTAAATTGCTTAAAGGTGTCTATGATGATGAAACTGCAAATGGAGAACAGTAATCAATTATGTCCACAAGTTCATTTGGAGCTTCCTGCACTAAACATTGAAAATTATTCCTTCATATATATTTTTTAAAGTGAATAATGACTCTTTTATTGATGCGATCGAAATATTTTTTGTCCGATTCAAGCAAAATGTTTTTTTCGAGAGAGTAACTTTTTTAGGTGAACCAAGCAGCTGAACAAATAATATCTTTTGGTAAGTTGCATATGCAACTTATTATTGTAGTACATTTTTACTTTGAGGATAATTATCTTTTCATTGATTATTATATGAAAATTCTGATGCATTTAGAATTGACAAAATTATATGTGTTTGCAAATGGTTTGAATGGGTTGTCTTATAACGCCATTACAATTTGCCATAATATCTCTAATTATATCATGTAATCAAGGAAAAAAATAGTATTCCACGTAATAATAGTTTAGGGAGCATTTTCTTTTGCATTTGCATGTTAATAATGGATGTTTAGAATTTTTTATGTACTTAACATTGTCATATTTTTGTGTGTGCGAAAGTATCTAACATCATGCAATGATGGCACGACAAATAAATAAAAATTGGACTATTAGATTTCCCGAACAAATTGAAAGTTGAGCAACTAAAATACACAAACTACAGCGTAATGGCACATATCTAAGTTATAATTAAATGAAATGCGTACCAAAACTGATATTTTCCTTATAATTAAATAAATAGACGGTTCTTTTCACTCTTACTTACAATAGTTTCCTTAGTATAAGAAAAGAGAAATATACAACTAATTAAAGAAAGATTTTTTTTTTTTTGGTAAAGGTAAGTGATTAAAGAAAGATTTAGCTAGCTAGCTTTCAAACAAACTATTTTGTCCAGGGAAAACGGATACCAATTTTGGAAAGAAAAAGAAGAAGGAAAAAAAAAGGCAAGATATAATATTAAATTAAGAGCGGGCCCCACATTTAACCTCAATATATATGTTATCGAGAGGAGCGCGGGGTAATTTCGTCTCCAGCAAAAAATCGAAAAGAAAAGATAAAGACGAGAAGAAAGAAAAGGCAAGAAATCGTCTCGATTCAAAGAGCGGAACCCGCAAGGGGCGATATAGCCAAATCTCGACGTAACTTCCGTAATAAGCGTATCGAAATAAATTAATTACAAAATCCCGGTTATAAGAAATTAATCGGGGAAAGGTAAAAAATAAAATAAATAAATAAAAAAAAACGGGGGGATAAGAAATGCGGCAATGCGCGTGATAACTGTGTGAAAACCGGCGCTAGTTATGAAACGGTCTTCAATGCTTTATATTTTAATTTTATTGTATTTTTATAGTTTCTGTTTTTGGTTGTTACGCGAAGTTTCGAGGAGATTTCACTGAGAGAGAGAGAGGCGCTCACACGACCCATCCGCCGTCCTTGAATCACGACTCCGTTTCGGTTTTTTTCTTTTTCTTCCTTCTTCTCTCTCTCCTCTTTTTTGAATTGTTCATATATATATATATATATATTAAATATTCCCTGCCATTAATAAATGAATAAAAATAATAATAAAATAATTTGGCTTCCCGTTTCGTCTTCCTCAACGCCTTCCATCTCCTTTTGGAAAGCATCCTCGGACGCGTCCGCCGCAGAGAATCAGGTGCCGCTCCCTTCGGCCTTCCCCCCCCCTGTGCTTTCTCTCCTCCTCCTGTTCCTCCCCTGTTTCCTCCCCTGTTTTTCCCCTCGCCTCCCCTCCCCTCCTCCCAAGGAGATTCTCTCTCTCTCTGTCTCTGTTTCCCCGTTTCGTCTCTCCGGTCGTCGGCCGATCGATCGTTGTCCGGCGGGGCTCACCGTCCTGATTCGGCCAGGTGAGGGCCTGTTCTCTGGATCCGGGGTCTGATTCTTGCCCCGCGCGCATTTTTTGTTCTCTCTCTGTCCATCTCCTTTTCGTTTCGAAAGATTTCTCTCGCGCGATTCGGGTGCGGTTCCGTGTCCCGGTGCGCGCGCAATCTGTCGCGGGCTTGCGCGAGCGGGGATCGCTAGAGCTCTCCTCGACCGATCGTGGGTCGATGAGCGGTCGCCGGATTTGGGCTTTCTCCCCGTGTGAAATGCTGCCGGGTTTTTGATGGCTCTTGAGGGAGGGGGGGACGTGGATTGTCTGAATCGGCAGTTTCGATGGCGAATCAGAGCCTGTTCTAGGGCAGGCGGCTTGTTATGGTTTTACGTAACTGTCCAGTTATAACATAGCGCATGGCGTGTTTCGACCCGTGGGGAAATTAGTCACGTAGATTAGATTGAGATAAAACCGGATTAGATAATGAGATGGGTACCCCGTGGAACATATGTTGAGGTGGTTGTCTGACATTTTCGTTTTCAATTGGGAGCAATTTGCTACCTGCCGGGCGGCTGTTTTCTCGTCTAATTTGTTTCGGGTTTTCGTGTGGCTTCAGATCCAGTTGGCCTCTCTGGGATTCCTTTCGACCGTGATCAAAGTACGTGGGGGCACGTAAATGCACCGCCGCGGTCTTATGGATACGAGATCCTTGTCGTGCTTTTGGTAAAAGAAAATGGATCACAAGTTGCAAGTCGGCGAGCGACCTCAAATCGAAGTAGGATTTCCAAAAGAGATTAGACGAGCGTATCTCTTCTAGAAGACTTTGTCATACTCTAGACTTTCCTTTCCATGCAACTCCTTTGTTATTTAGATTTCTCTGTTCTCCACTAGTTATGTCTAATGGCATATATTAGATTCAAAGACCAATTCTTATGGCTGATGATTTCTATTAAAGGAATTTTATGTAACAGATGGGATCGCTCCAGGAAAGATCTGCCCATGATTTTGAGGATAAAAGCGCATCCAGCACGTCGAAAGTCTTTCAGAAGATGAGTTCTTTTCATGCAGCCGAACAAGGGCCATTTTCAGGAACTTCTCGAGTTGGAGGAGTTAACATGTTCAGTTGTGCGTGCAGAAGTATAAAGATAGTTGTCTTCTCAAATAAACTCAACTTGCTCATGCCATTTGGCCCCGTAGCCATCTTGGTTCATAATTTGACTGGCCATCATGTGAGTTATGATCGTCTACGTTCACATTTGTTACAATATAGTGCATTCAAGTATGCCCTGTTAATATCTGTAGCTGGACTGCAGGGTTGGGTTTTCTTTTTCAGTTTACTGGGTATTACACCTTTGGCCGAGCGTTTAGGTTATGCTACAGAGTAAGGCCTCTTAGTTATTCTGCTGGATTATCTTTTGGACATGTTGGTTTGATTGAGGCTCATGTCTATATCTTGTTTGATGTAGGCAACTGGCTTTCTACACTGGTGCTACAGGTGAGAGTCAATGATAATCTAAGTGTAAATAAGATGCGACCATATTCAGTATTCTCTCCCTTCACACTTTTTTTTTTCTAAAAATTGTGTGGTATTTATAGTTTAAAGCGTCGACGGGGTTAATTTGCAAGATTTTACAAGGATTTGTTCTGTTTTTGACAGGAGAAATTTTTTTGGTATTTTATTTTGTTACACCTATAGGCCTGTATAGGACCTCATTAGCGTGTAATGCACGCAATCTTTCCTTACCCGTATGCATGTAACTGTGAAATCTGAGTCTCTCTCACCACCTAATATTGTTTAATGGAGAACCTCATCTCGTTGTTTGAGCAAAATTTTTTGTATGAATTATTTCACAAGTATGAATAGACAGTCTTTTACTCCTTTCAAGAACTGCCCAATGTTAAATTTTACTTCTTCCATCTAGCTTAAAACGAAAAATTTTCTATTGGTCAGTGGCAAACAGATGGTCATGCATACTTTGACATTACTCCAGGGGATTACAGGTTGACATATTGAATTGGAACTTGCAGTTGGCGGTCTGTTGAATGCAACTTTTGGAAATGCAACCGAATTGATTATATCAATACATGCACTGAGGAGCGGAATGATCAGGGTGGTTCAGCAGTCATTACTGGGTTCAATCCTTTCAAATATGTTGCTTGTCCTTGGTTGTGCATTCTTCTCCGGTGGGCTTGTTTACATGAAGAAGGAACAGGTTTTTAACAAGGTAACCCCATTATTATTTTCCACTTTTATTATGATTGACATACACTCTCTGTTCTATGTTTCTCTTCCTGACACGTTAAGATTTGGTGTGCAGTCAACTGCTGTCGTAAACTCAGGGTTGTTACTGATGGCTGTCATGGGTTTACTTTTTCCTGCTGTCCTTCACTACACACACAGTGAGGTGCACTTTGGGAAGTCAGAACTGGCTCTCTCGAGATTCAGCAGCTGCGTCATGCTAATTGCATATGCTGCCTATCTCTTTTACCAGTTGAGGAGTCAATCAAATCAATATGTCCCTCTCAATGAGGTCAGTTAGGTTCAATCTTTTCTTTAACCTGTATTTGTTGTTTTAATTATTGCCTACTTCCTCATGCTGTAGAATTTCTTGTTTGTTTTCATGGTTCATCCATAGAAAGAACAACTTTTCCTTTGAAAGTTTTGATCCAATTGTAAATGACTTGGTTAATCGGAGCTTGTGAGTGCTTCTGTCTTTGACTACCTCTGTCCTTATTCGGTTATTGTGTTCAAGGCTTACTAAAGTGCTGATTTGAGATTTCTATGTCAAACTTATCATGCTCAGGCCCTTGCCTCTTGCTATTGCTAATATTTCCTCTTTTCAGTTTACGAATAATAGCATTGTGTGTAGCACTCTGGAATTCTGAGTCTTAACAATGGTCTCTTCGAGTACTTCGAAATTGTTCGGGATTTTTTTGATTTAAATTGCTTCAGCTGTGGTTTCTTAGTAAGCCACTCTTGGTGGGTGGTGCTTGCGAACATATTCCCAATACCTGCTTGAGGAAGGTTGTTCATAAAATTTATCTTGAGATGCATTTACTCTTTTGCACTAAATTTGTCTCTGTTTATTTGTACTAGGAAGTGAGTCCAAGTGGGGAGAGTGCAGAGGATGACGATGAGTCCCCAGAAATCACCAAGTGGGAATCTATAATCTGGCTTGCAGTAATGACTGCTTGGATCTCATTTTTATCAGACTATTTGGTTGATGCCATAGAGGTATCGACATTTTTTCTTTATTCACTTTTGGCAGATTAGATATTGGTCGTATTGGATTCTGTTTGTCATATCAATTTCTCATGAAGCTTATCTGATATGTTTGGAAAATTACTGCAAATTGTAAATTATCGAAGCTTGGTTTTAGCAGTTTTATCCACAGTTCCTGTTCGTCTTCGTGGTTTATGAATACCTTTGATGTCGTAGTAATCTTCTGGTCAAAAGCTCTTTTCAGCAGTTGGCTTGGTTTTGAGTCAGATAGTATGGGGAAATCTAAATATATAGAAAATGTTGTAGTCATAAGTTTTATGTCTAGTTTTTTTGGGGGAATTCCATATTCAACTAAAACCAACTCAAGGTGCTTTTCATCTTTATCTTATGGCTGTCCAATCTTTCAAGTGCTTATTCTCAATCATATTGGCTAACTTAATAGTAGTGCTTCTTGAAGTATGGGTGTCCTTGTTCCTCTTCGTTTTTCCTCTTTTTTTTGGTTAAAGTTCTTGAAAGTTTACTTATGAGGTACCACTCAGTTTACTTTTGGTTCATCATTGAAGAGTTCCCTTGTTGTTTGACATTTCAGGGGGCATCCTCAGCCTGGAAAGTACCTATTGCATTTATTAGTGTGATATTACTTCCTATCGTAGGTAACGCAGCAGAACATGCAAGCGCTATAATGTTTGCGATGAAAGACAAACTTGTAAGCATTTTCCTTTTTCACTTTGTGGTGTTTTTTTATTTATTATCGGCCCTTGTGATATTTATGATTTCATTGGCAGGATATATCTCTGGGAGTGGCTATAGGATCATCAACTCAAATTTCTATGTTTGGGGTAGGTCATTTGTCATTGCAGCTTGATTGATTTTATAATTTGTCTATTCAGAGATTCTGAAGTGAACCTGCATGTTACCTTTTGATAATCAATTTTAATTTTATTTGTCAGTTAAGATGACAGAAGAACAGTTCTTCAATGTTTGACATTGGATGCACGAATTAATTTTATGTACAAATTACTTGGATGGTTAATATATGCTTTTCTCATCTATGTAGATGTTGTAAATGTCTTGTTTGCTGTCCTTTCCATTCAAATACCTTAGAAACATTCTAGCTTGGTACTTCTCTATGTATGTTCTTGGTTAAATGGTATTGTCAGACGTCATTGTCATTCGTATCGTTCATCGGTAGATTCAATTAGCTGCTCATTTTAGAGCTGTATTGGCTATGATGATTTCAAGCATCATTGGACCCTTTTTTCTTTTTTCCACCATGCATTTCTCGTGTTGGGCATGCTGGCTTCTTCATTGATGTTCAGATTATTAGGATGATTTGTCATCGCTTACTTCTTTGATACCAATTTTTGGCTTTGATAGTTCCGTTAGAACACTGAAAAGAATAAGGTTATGTTTTAGCTTCCTTGTAGGAAATGACGAACAATTTTTTTTTGGCTCAAACTGTGTAGGTGTAATGGTGTGCGACAATATCTGCATAGAATGTTCCTTTCATGATGTCCCCCATATGTTCTCCAATGATCTTTGTATTTTCGTCATTGCAGATACCCTTTTGTGTGGTTGTTGCATGGATAATGGGGCTCCCTATGGACTTGAATTTCCAACTCTTTGAAACGGCAGTTCTTTTCATTACCGTATTAGTTGTGGCCTTCTTGCTCCAGGTTTGTGAGGCATTAGCTTGCTACCTTTATTTTATGGTGGCATAAATCTATACTTCTAATGGCTTGTCCTCCATGATGACTGAGGATTTATCATCTCCTCTGCCATGTTTTGTATTGCTCGCAATACTTCACCTTTCCACTTCAACATTTGCTCAACATTTATTCTCTAAAATTTTCTCAATCTGCAGGAAGGAACTTCTAATTACTTTAAAGGGTTGATGCTAATACTTTCCTATGTGATCGTCGCTGCCAGTTTCTTTGTTCATGTTGATCCAACCAAAGGTTAGTACCTAACTGTCCACAAAAAAACTTTGTTTTCCTGCTTGAAATCGCGTAGGCTGTCTCATACTTCACAGTTTGCTCTATGGAAATTAATATTGTCATGAAATATTCCTATTCATCAATTACGATATTCTACAGATGATAAACAATAGTGATATAGGGAGATTACGAGGTTGGATGTTCAGAAGCGCACGCTTTAATATGAATCTAGATACGCCACTTTCGGCCTTACATATCTCCAGCTCCTGCCGGTGGGTGTTCAGTATAGTCTCCTTCGATCGAGCATATCAGCCGGATTTTGTTTCAGCAATTCCTTCATCTTATATTTAAGATCAGGAAGAATTGTCGGTAGGGAAGTCCGAAACTATTTCGCTTCTTGTCCGATGTCAGTCGCATGCACAAGTCAACCTTGATTGCAACAAAAGCAATTGAGACCCATCACAAACTGATTGGATCAGTTCATGAAAGGTCTCCTTTTCTTTTTCTATCTCAATTTTTTTTTATCTTGTTACTCTAATCACGGAATGGCTCCGTACAAGTTGGTTTTGTACAGTTACCTATTTTTCGTTTTCTTTTGGTAACATAGAGAATTTAAAGATACGGGCGGCGGAATAATGGTTTGAGACGTTCACATGTTTAGAGATACATAAGTCAATTTGATGTAATTTACATCACTTAATTTTGCCCATGTAATGAAATTCGGAAGTTATTCGCAACACTCAGTTTGGAACCTTTGATTGTTTTCAGCTGTGATGATACTTTATCGCTGCCCTATTTACTAGTGGTGAGCAAAATGAACTGTCCTGACTAGAATGGATTGGGAATTTTGGGCGGTTCTCGGGGCACCGGTCCAGTTCCATAAATTTGAAACTGGAGAATTTCGGTGTAGTTCCCGATTTCAAGTGGACCACCTGGACCGAACTTTTTACCTTTTTATTTCTTAAAAATTTATAAAAAAAACCCTAATCTATTTCCCATTTTACAAAGGAAGGCCCTTCAATGTTGGAGAGTTTGTGTTTACTAATGCACGTGAGTTAGATGATAAAAGCTAATCAAAACACAACAGCAATTGCTCATTTTTACCAAATTTTGCTGCAAATTAGAAAATTTTTTGGGGAACTTACATTGTTACACTTAACTCAATTATTGTAGAATTGCCTTGATTAGTAAGAGCATCATTAATTTTATCTTAAACATTAATAACAGAAAAAAAATTAATTGTCACCGGTTTCATTGGCCTACCTGAGAACCGGACCGGTCGGTCAGGTTTCGATCCAATTTCAAGGGGCATTAGTTCGGTTCCCGTTTCCAGAAACTGGGAACCGGTCCCTTTGGTCCGATTTTCGATTCCCGATTCCTGGGCGAGAATCGGACTGTGCGAGAGCCGATCACCCTTGTTAATTACCATGCTTTAATTTACTTTTGGGGTGTATAAATTCCCATATGTTTATCTCTTGGAAAGCATCTTTCATAATCATATTGTTGCATAAAATGAACTATAACCTAATAACCATATATTTATAGGGATGATTTAACTGGCTCATAGGTTCTAACTTAGGTCATGGTGAAGAACTTTTCTGCGAATTAGTTTTCTAGAATTTCATGCATTTGGTTTGCTGAAAATGACCAGTCAAAAGAGATAAAAAAAAATATGCATGCTTGAAGGAAAATTAATTCTGTAATATGAAAAGAGGAAAATATTTTTCTGAAAAGTATTTTTCTTGAGAGAAAAACCAAAAAAATCGTAAATCTATTGTATAACGGCCAATTTAGTCTCTAAGCTTTTCAATTTTTTCAACTTAATCTTAAATTTTTTGATAATTTGCCAATGTAGTCCATTTTGCTAATTTTGACTAGAAATTGCTTACATGAATAATTTATATATATTTTTTGTTTTTTTGATTTTTTTTTTAAAAATTCTTTTTCTTCCCTTTTCTTTTCTTTTCCTTTTTCTCGGTCTCCCAGGCACTGCGACGAGTTCACAGAAGTTAATCTGGCATGTTTGTGCAACGCCTAGGCAACCGTTGCGCTCACTAAGTCCGATGAGGATAAGGGTTGGCAAGGGTATTGCAGCCCTCACCGGCCATCCCTTGCCTAGGCTCACTTGTGCCCGGCGAGTGCACAAATATATCATGTCTGTTTTGTTTGAAGAAAAAGTCTGTAATTGTTTTTCAAATTTCTGATATTTGAATGACGGAAAATTGATCGATTTACGGAAAACATTTTTCATGGACCGAAGACAACAAACTTAAATTTGGAAAAAACAACTTTCCCTGGTAAGAAGGAAATCACTTTCCCTACACCATCGAACAAATGAAAACTAACAATTTTTCTTAAAAATGATTTTCATGGAAAATATTTTCCTTTATTATGAAATTTTAACGAACTAAATGCACATAAATTAGTTTTGTTTCATCTTTTAATGATTAAAACCTTTTAAAATAACCCAAATGGCGAATTAATACCTTTTCTTTTCTTGGTCAACTTTTTTTATTTTTCCCAGTTGCTAAATCCAATAATTGAAATGGTTTTTGTCATTTTATCTAAATCTGACTTACATGATTTTTTTTTTTGGAAAGGGACTTACATGATCGTTAGCAACAAACTTTCGTGAATTCTTTGCGTGTATGCTAAATGAGGAAATGCATGTCATTAATATTCATCTGCCTTTTTTTTTTTTTTTGTCATTTACCATATTAATGAATATCTGCTTTATTTATCTACTTTTTTTGTTGTTGCACACTTCATTAATCTACTTTGGTAGATATGTATATGTAGCGTATACAACATTCGAATGGGTCGCGGCATGTATTTAACTCGCAGGATATGAGTATATCTTATGTATGTACGTAGAAATGCACATATGTGTTTTTTCTGAGATTTGAAAGCATTGTTTGATTTTTGCCAGAATATGGGTAAAATTACCAAAAAAGTCATAACCTTATTATAATTATGCCAATTTAGTTATAAAACCTTTCAATTTGATCAATTTAGTTGTAAACTTATTGCACACTTGTGTAAATATTTTGATGATTTGCCAATTTAGTCCTAAACCTTTTAAAGATTTGCTAATTTAGGCTCCGTTTGTTTTTGGCAAAAAGTGAATTATTTAGAAAACATTTTCCTAAAAATGAAATGAATGAATGAAAAATATTTTCATCATTTACGAAAATGTTAAGATAGAAATTATTGTCGATAATGAATGTACTTGTCATTGGTTAATTATTTTAAGTGATGCAAGTGATTATTTTTAGAAAAATATTTTCTAAATCATTCATTTTTCGCGAAGCAAACAATGCCTAGTCTTTTTTGCTAATTTTTGTCGAAAATCACATATGTGGTGGTCTAGTCAACTCAGTCGTCCTAGGTGGTACGGCTAGCGCTGAATTGGGCAATTTTTGCAATTCTTTTTAAAAAAATTTGAATCTTTTTTACATTTTTTTTTTTCTTTCACTTCTCTTTTTTCTTCTTCCTTATTTTCCATCGCTAGTTGCCAGATGCCGATGAGGTCGGCCCTCACCGACATCTGGTGAGGGTTGGGCAAGGGGCCTTTCCTAGGTGAAGGTCCCCTCGCTGGCCTCTGGTGATGGCAAGGGGCCTCACCCAGGCGTGCGAGGGCTGGGATGCCCTCGCTGGTAGATGGAAATAAGGAAAAAAAGAAAAAAGGAAATGAAGTTTAAATTAAATCATCAACGTCAACAATTTTTGGTCAAAATTAGTTGAAAAGACTAGATTGACAAATTGTCAAAATGTTTATGACTAAATTAGCACAACTTCAATAGGTTTAGTATTTTGTGGTAATTTCCCCTATAGAAAATGTATTAGGATCATATTATATTTTTTATAATGTTTACATAGAAAAGAAGGAACAATTAGCTTGTTTAATCGCCTAGTTTTAATATCGACAAATTTCCTCATAAACAAGCTAATTAAACTGGAAAAAAAGAATCGCAAATACCTTTAAATGTTGATATTAAATTCTTAGAAAATGACAGGAAAAAATGTTGAAATATCTTGTGGAAATAGTAGTTGTATGTCAAGACCAGCCTATATTCACTTTTTCCAATTTGTTTTTCAATTAGGTAAGTTATGGTAGAGTTTATTACACGTGGTTAGCACAGTTGCTTTATCTTAAAAATATCTTTAGAAATTATGAAGATATTATAATACATCATATATTCGGCAAATCATTCGGACATTTAACATGTTATGTGTATCCCGTACGTAGTTGAATTTGTGTCTAGATTTATCGTGTAATACATGAGACTAAATTTTCTCTGATTTGATTTGAAGCCTACACATAGGCGATAGTTGCAATATCGAAGTTAAGCAAATTTAAATGATGGAGTCGACTTTCAACTTCTTCTATTCCAAACCAAATTTCAACGGCGCCGACTTTCAAATCATATTATCGAAATGCTCACTCGCAGAGTACTTGATTTTCAAACACTGTTGTTGCAAACCGACATCATCTATCGGAAAAGTAAGTGTTGACTACACTAACTTTCAAATGGGTGCCAATACCCGAAAGCTTTGCAAATCTTAATGATAATTAGATATTTATTTTCAAACTCAAGCTAAACTTGGGCGTGCTAAAGATACCTTTTACATATTATGGATGTATCGCCGATACATCATATATTCTTCAAACATTTAGGTATTTAGCATGTTACGTGTATCCTTGTACACGGTCGTACTCATGTTTCAAGTCGTGACATCGTACACTGAATTGGATTCTCTTTGATATGATTTGAGGTCTGTAAATATGCCTTAATTAGTTGTAAGATCGAAGTTAAACAATTTGTGAATAGTTACAAAATTGCAAAAGTACAATCGTGGGGGGTCTTTAAATTCTTCATGGTGAGAAATGCATTTCAAAAAGTCTAAAAAGAAAAAATGGCAGTGCGGAGATGTACCAAGTCTCTATTTCTAGATACTGGAAAATGATGGATGGGGGCACGAAACTTGTACCTCGGAAAATTGCCGATTTTTGAAGTAGTTTCCTCGTCGCACGGCAAAAGCTCATTTGTCAATAATAGTCATTTCATTTTTGGCAATGGCAGGGGACTGAATTTCACGTGGCAAAAAAAATTCTAATCAACCTATTTTCGCCTATGAACATCTTTGACACGATTACAAGCACTACTAATTAGATTTTGTTACCCAAAATTTCAAAATGCCGAGTAAAGGGTCCATTTATTTTAAAAAAATAAATCTGGAAAATTGATTTATGAATTTATGGTACTTGGATGATGGAAAGCTAATCGATTCACGGAAAACGTTTTTTAGGGAAAATATTTCTTTTATCGTAAAGTTTTCAGTGAAATAAATGCCCTGTAATGCTTCGTTTGTTTATCGAAAATGAATGATTTGAAAAATATTATCCAAAAAATTATTTATATTGCTTACGGAAATAGAAGAACAAAAAAACATAATATTCTCATTGTCAACGAAAATATTTATACATATATTGCCGTTGATAATGAAAACATTTTCCCATCAACTTACCATTTCGGGAGATCATTTTTAGGATGAAAATTTTCTACAAAACAAAACGGAACAAAATAAGAAAATTTCATATAACGAATTTAGTAAGATCAGTATGGCTCTGTTGATTCAATCTCGTGTCCCACAGATTCAAAGAAAGATCAAGAAAGGAGCAAATTGTTGAAGAAACGAACTCTTTGAAAACGACATTGCATCTAAATTTTCTCCC